TGTGTGTGTGTGTCTCCTAAAGTTTCCTAGGACTGAGGTAGGTATGAAGTATCTGTGTGGAAGTGCAGTGGAACATGAAGAGTAAAACAGCAAAATTATCATATGAAGCAAGCCAGTCTGGAAAGCCATCCCTATCAGGACTACATACAAAACACCAACCATGGGGCTGGAGAGATGGCTCAGTGGTTAAGGGCACTGACTGCTCTTGCAGAGGACCGGGATTTGATTCCCAGTGCCCATTGGCATCTATGAACCATCCTTAACTCCAGTTCCAGTTCCTTTCCTTTCCTCTTTCCCCTTTCCTCTTCCCTTCCCTCTTCCCTTTCCCTTTCCCTTCCCTTTTATTCTTTCAGAGCTAAGGACTGAACCCAGGGCCTTGCACTTGCTAGGCAAGCGCTCTACCAATGAGCTAAATCCCCAACCTCCACTGTTTTTCTTAAGAAACTTTCTCTATCCCTACTACTGTCCTTAAGTCTCTGTTCCAATTCTTTGTTCCAGGACACAAGAACCTGGAAATCTCAGTGGGTAGGTGCCCTGCAGACTCTGATGCATGCCTATAAGACCTGGGCCATATTTATTTAATTGTCTCAAGGGCTTCTCTGGTATGAGCTACGTTATTAAGTATGATTTTAACTATTAAAAAAGCATCATTAAATGAGTAAAACATTTAATCAAGAACACAATGTGAGATGTTCATTCAGTTTCTACTTCATACCTTGGGAACTGCTTGGTGAGTATGCTGGATAGCTTTAGTGTCAACTTGACACACATGGGTTGAGGGAGCCTCAACTGGGGAATTGCCTCCATTGGACTAGCCTGTGGCCATGTCTGTGGGGTATTTTCTTGATTGTTGAGTGATGTAGGAGGGCCCAGCCCACTGTGGGTGGTGCCACCCCTGGGCAGGTGGGCCTGTGTTGGGTAAGGGAGCAAGCTGAGCAGGGGCCAGGGAAGCAAGCCAGTAAGCAGCATTCCTCCATGGCCTGTGCTCCAGCTCCTGCTTCCAGGTTCCTGCCCTGAGTTCCTACCTTGGACTCCCTGATGAGCTGCGACCTGGGAGATGTAAGCTGAATAAACCCTTTCTTCCCCAAGTTGGTATTGGTCAGAGTATTTTGTCACAGCAATGAAGAACGAACCAGAACAGTGAGCTTTCTTTTTAATTTTTAATTTTTGCATTTCATTTATTTATTGTTTTATTTATTTATTTGTGTGTGCGTGCGTGTGTGTGCGTGTGTGTGTGTGTGTGTGTGTGTGTGTGTGTGTGATCATGTGTGTACCATGCCACCCATGTGGAGGTCAGAAGACAACCTGTAGGAGTTCATTCTCTCCTTCCATCATGCAGATTCTGGACATCAAACAGGTCCTCCAGCTTGCTAGCAAGCACCTGTGCCCCTCCCCAGCTCTCTGGCCTGGAATGTCTGCTTTTTTCCACCTCTGCTTTCTATAACATCAGTGGCCAAGAGACTTCACATATAGTTGTTTAAAAATATACTAGCATAAAATAATGTTTGTTGTACTAAAATCTTGCTATACCACATCAAATCTTACTGAAATGTTTTTGATTTCTTAGGTGCATCTTGTTGAAGTGCTGGAATCTGCATGGGTGTCTGTGAGCAGCTCTAATTGCATTGTTAAAATGAGCTCTTATGCAAAAGACTCTATACAAAGAGTATATGAAATAATTTTTTAAAAAATTAAGTAGTATATAAAATGCATATGAAAATGGGATTACATGTAATAAAATATTTCAAGCTTACAATAATAGAGCTGAGTATAGTAGGCACTTGCAATCCCAATACTGAGGAATTAGAGGCAAAGTTTTCAGGGGATCTAGGTCAGCCTTAGTAACATTAAAAAGTTCAGAGTCAGTGTGGACCACATGACACCCTAATTCAAACCCTCACCCCTTAAAGTTATATAATAAAAGACTGTGGAATCCTCAAGAACAGGTCATTGAGGAAAAAGGGGCAAGTAGGGAGTTAATTTAATATAAACAAGGAACTGTAGAAAATAAACAATGACCCTTCAACTATAGGAATCCAATTTAGAAAATAAAACACTTTGTGAATTAAAATTGTGGGGATTAATGGCACTTCAGGACACCATTTACTGCATCCACTAATACTGGATGAAAGAGTTGTTGCTCAAAGAATAAAGATCCTTTTGGAAGGGGAAATCATATACATATATATGTATATGATTTCATTTTTTCCCCTGAAGTTTATGAACATTTTTTGCTGCCAAAGACATTTTTAAAAAGTCCTCTTAGCTTGATTAAATAAAATGCCCTTCACAAAGTTCTCCCTAACAATAAGATGAACTGATAGCAATTTTCACTGCAACATAAATAAAATCCAACAACCGAAATACATGTACTATCAGCTCGTTCCTGATGAATCAATTTAATTGAGGGGTTTCTTAACACTCTCAGATGGAAACCTCCCTCTTCCCCTAGAACAATTTCTGACCTTTTATAAATGACTAAGGTAGGAGACCCCCTGGAAAGATAGGTGATTTCTGGCCCTTCCTCCAGGGGAACCACAGGGTCCCTAGCTCTTCTGCCCAGCATCTGGCACCAGTTGCTCACCTTGCCACCTTCAGTTATGTCTGTGTGGAGTACCTCAGTATTTTCATTTATATTTTCTTGAATTAATTAATAGATCCAGATGAACAGTAAACATGACTTATGAACAGGTAACAACCTTAGTATAGAAGATATGATGGTTAGTGTCAATTGTCAACTTGACAACCTAGAATTACCTGGGAAGAGAGTCCCAGAGAGGAATTATCTGAATTGGGTTGGCCTGTAGGCATGTCTGTGGGGAGCGACTTGATTACTGTGAACTGATGTGGGGAGATTCAGCTCACTGTGGGCACCATGTCCTAGTTTGGGGTTCTGGGGTATATGAGTGGAAGAACTGAGCTAAGCACAAGCAAATGAGCATGTATGTGTGCATTCATCTCTCTGCTCTTGGCCCTGGATGTTATGTGATGAGCTGCTTGAAGTTGGTGTCCTTACCACATGATGGACTGTAACCTTAGACTGGGGATGGAGAAGGGAGGTTGGATGCGGGGAGAAAGAGGAGAGATGAATGGAGCTTGGGTGGTGTGGCAAGCCAGACAGAAATGTGTTGACTTGGAAACCCCCTGAGAAATACACATACACTGTCTGAACATTAATGCATCTGTATACCTTAGAGCTGTATGGCAAGGAGCACAGTGCCAGACAGGAAAGATCTCCCTTAGAGTAGTTGGTCAGAGTGGTCCAAGAGACTCCCCAAATAACACAGGCTATTGCTGGAGCCCTTGGTTATCTCCCAGAACTTGAAGATAAGACCCTACTGCCAAAGACATGACATATTTCAGACACAGGCCTTGAAGCCATGGAGCTAGAACTGACATGGAAGCCTTTTCCCCGAAGACTAGAACTCATAGTTCTAGAGGATAATATGCAAGCTGCTAAGGGAGAAAATCAATCAATTGTTCAACTCAGCTCTGAAGCCTAATAATCACAACAACTGGCACAACAAACTACCTCTATTGGTGCAGAAGTGGTACTGTTATCTGGGGGATAACCAACTATCTAAATGGACTTAAATCCCTCCCAATGGGAGGAAATTCATAGGTGTCACTGTAATTATAGCCAAATATACATGTTGGAGAAGTCATAGATCCTAGAGAAAACCCTGTCTCTGTCATATCTCTAGACAAATGAAAATTTCTTACTATATGCTAAATATGGATCCTTATATTTACTGACAAGAATACCATACACCGCTCATCAAAAAAGCTTCTTTTTTCAACAGAGAGAGGCTATTACAGAGTTCCACAACTTGTCACATGCACAGAACATACATCTGAGAGATTCCCAGACCTAGGAGACATATCTATAGCCTCAACACCTAAGGCTCATGGAACACAGTGGAACATTGGTGGAAAGAATACTAGTGTATCCCTTAACTCTTACCAGTGAAGCATCCTTATACAACAGAGTGTGATGCACACAGAAGGCCACAGATGGCTAAATTTTAGAGAATCAAGGAGTGCAGTGTATGCACCCTTAGAGAGGACTCTTATATTAAACCTCATCCACCCATACCTCAGGGACCATTGCAGAAGGGATTTGTATTGTAAGAGCCAGAGTTGGTCTATGAACATAGGGAAATAGAAGCTTTCAGGCCACTGGAAGTTTGCACATGTGAACTTGTGGCAATGGTGGCATCATGCACAAGATCCATGTCGACTCAACCAGACAAGGGCCCAATGTGAAGCAATGGAAATGGGTAGAAGGATGGCCCTATCCTGAGAACTGTTGGCAACTGATTACTGCTGGGTGAGGGAGAGTAGAACTGCCTTAAGATCTCAGGTAAGCTGACTAAACCCCAGTGGATATCAAGGACATTTGGATGCAAATGCTTGACTGGGCATGACTTAATATATATATCAGAATGCATGAGGTCGGGTTGGGGGGTATGTAGCGACATGGATGGGGGAGGGGATCTAAATTTCATTAAGAACTATTGTATAAAATGCACAAAAAACAATGAAAATATTTTTAAAGGAAATCTATCAAAATATGTATGCTAATATGTATACACACCATTTTACAATTGTCTTTTTACAGTATTAGAGTCTTTTGCTCATTCATTCATACATGCATTCATTTTATGCAGTTTTAGGAAAAGAAAGTGAATTATTCCACAGCCCTGGCCTGGAAGGGCTTTCAGTTTTAGAGGCTGATCCATTTTGAGGTCTGAAATGATTCTGAGTTAATTATTATGCTATGTCTTCTTTGGAAGTTAACATAGCTATAGTCACAGGGTCAAGACTTTTTCAAGTGATACACATTTCAACTTTCTGTCCATCATTAGCAAAGAGATCTTCATGACAGATGGGTGACTGTAGCAGTCTGGGGGTACCGAGAAAGTAAGACACAGATTCACTTATACCCAGTCAACTACATCATATTTTTCTTTTAGTGGGTACATGGTTTTCTGTCTTACCTCAAGAGCCTTCAGTCTTTCTAAGAGCAGCTTGGTCTTGTCTTTTCCCTCATCACTACAGCTGCTTCTGCTCCTTGAGTCTTCATCCACCACCATGTGAGGACTGCCCAGGGCCTCCTGGTGTTTTCTCTCCTCCTCAGACAGTCTTTCCTGAAGCAAGAAAGAAAAATGATGATTTTTCAATAATCTCCAGGTGGAAAACAGCATGAGCCTAACGTGGAAAAGTTGGGATTCATTTGATTCTGAGGTAAACAACAGAGATTTTTGTTTGTTTAGTTTTCCTGTGTGCATATTTGTATGTGGGTTTTTGTGTGTGAGTGCACACAAGGCTACACATGTGTGCATACATGCATATGTGTGTTCATGCCTAAGGAGGGCAGAGTCAAACCTTGGGTGTCATTCCTCAGATGCCATCCACCTTGATTTTTTGAGACAAGGTCTCCTACTTTACATGTAATTCATCAAGTAAGTTAGGTTGGTTGACTAGCGAGCCATGCCTGTTTCTGCTTCCTCAGTGCTGGAATTACAAGGATGCACGACCATACTTAGCTCTTTTACCTGGGTACTGTGGATCAGGTCCTCATGCTTGCAACTGGGCTTTATCAACTTGGATGTCTCCCCAGCCCCACAGTAGAGGGTTTTCTTAAACCCTGGCAAGACAAAGATACTAGGTTCCCACACATGAAAACGCATGTTGTCTTTCCAGTTGCAATCAAGAAGCCATAGGCAAAATCATGTGGTTAATTTATTTTTATCATCACAGTATAATTTGGCTGTGCATTAAATAGAAAAAAAATACATTCACCTTGATGCTTTCATTTGTGAAAGATTTGGCTCTTCCTAAGAAGATCATGGAACTTACCAGACATGCAGCTAGTTAACAAATAAGGAAAAATAAATAGAATAAAATATTGAAATTATTTCAAAATTTGTTTTTTTTTTCCATTTTTCATGTGGGTGAGATATACATGTATGCATTCTTTTTATGTATGTGGGCATGTGGGGGGGGTGTCTGTATATGTGTTTGCATGTGGAGGCTAGAAATTGATGTTAGGAATCATCCTCGATCACACTTCCATACTATTCATTGAGTCAGGGTTTCTCAGTCAAACTCAGAGCTCATCCAAATGGCTAGTTTTGCTAGCCAGCTTGCTACAAGATTCCATATATCTGCCTTCCAAGACTGAAATTACAGGCGGACCACCATGTCCTCCTGACATTTACATGGGTTCTGGGGTTATGAACACTGGTCTTCATGCTTGAATGCCAAGTGCTTCCACCACTGGTCATTTCCCCAGCCCCTGATTTCAGAACTAAGCTCAAAGCAAATAGTTCCCTCATTCACTAATAACCCAGTTTCTAAGAACCCTTGGTCCCCTCTCTCTTACTTTGGGATTTGCTGCATAGCCTCGAGGCAGGCATGAAATATGTCTATCTGGTCTTGTGTCCCTATTGGAAGGTCCATATTCAACCTCGTCTCTGACAGCTTTTTGGGAGTTGAGAAGTGCTAATTTGAGAATGGTACTTCAGAGAGAAAAAGAAATGTCAGAATACCATATGATGGGCTTGGTGGGTAAAATGCTTGCAGCCCAAGTGTGAGGACTTGAATTTGGATTCCCAGGACCCACATGTAAACTGATTGTAGTGGTGCATGTTTGGGATCCCAACATTCCTACAAGGAGATGGGAGGCAGAAACAGCAGAATCCAGGAATCTTGCAGACCAGCTAGCTTGGCCTACACAGCAGCAAATGACAAGAAACTCTGTCTCAAACAAGGTAGAAGGTGAGGACCAACAACCAGTCATGTCCTCTGACCTCCACATACACATCTGCACTCACAGAGACAAACACATATGCACACATCATAATACACAATTATACAAAGGGATAAGAAAAGAGTATTGTATGAACAAAACCCAATCCATGTCTCATATACCAAGCCTTTTACCCTCACACCAGTGAAATCATCCTGTCACACTATTAAATCCCAGCACACACTTCAGAAATCTTGGGTTTGATATAGTTGGTTTCCAACAGACTTTATATTTAGTATTAAGATCATTTTCAAACACAAAGCAAAATACAGTATGATTATTACACTCAGGGGAATCATACCATCTACATAGAAACAAGTTCAAGGCAGGGGACACAGATTTTCAAACTGTAGTCATCAAGATCTTTGAAGGATCCAAAATATTTTAAAATAATTTTGAAAATGCATTATTAAGTATGTGAAAAACTATCTTGAGTTACATACACATATGACATACATGTCCACATGCACAAATGTACATATATTGGTATAAAGCACTTAGCTGGTATGTTGACCCATGCTAATTTATTTTGTGCAGATTTCAGAATGTAATTTCAACTGCTGTCTCACTATATAAATAGATACACAATGGATTCAGAAGGCTAGCTAGGGAGATGGCTCAGTTGGTTAAAGTGTCTGCCTTGGAAACATGAAGAACTGAGATCCATCCCTAGAATCACAAAAAAATAAGCCAGACATGGTGGTGCTTGCAATCCTAGTGCTAGGGAGGTAGAGGTAGGCCAAAAAATAAATTGCTTTTTCTAAAATCTAAAAAGAAAACAAAATAAAAATAAAACACCCAAGGTGGATGGAACCAAATGAGGTAGTCCTCTGGCCTCTCTCTATGCACATGCACACATGGTGAACATACACTAATGGACCCCTATATGCCCCCACAAAAAACACACAAAGGTGGTGAAGGTGCTTTATGAAATTGGGCCTGCACCTCTCTGATCATATACAGTGTGCAGATGTGAGTTTGGCTCAGCTACATACTAGGAAAGTTTAACTAACACATACACACAATAGGAACAAATCCACAGACCAGCTGGATTTTTCTATATTCAATTCTCTAAAGTTTGACTACTGGCCAGATTTCTATTTCATCACAAAGAACAGAAATTTATGCATTTTGTTACCAAGCCAACTTCGAAGCAAAAAATTTCTTATTCTTCTCCTTTAAGAATATGGCTCATAGGGCTAGAGATAGGAATCAGTCAGTAAAGGGGCTTGCTGCCAAGTCTAATGACCTGAGTTCAATCCCCAACACACACACACACACACACACACACACACATACACACACACACATGAATAAATAAAATAAAAATAATTAAAAAATAAGAATGGAGAACACTGTAATTAATTAATCATGAAGCCAAGATAATACAAGGCAATTTTTGTTGTTGTTTTTTGTTTTGTTTGTTTGTTTTGAGACAGAGTCTCCCTATAGACCCAGTAGGCCTGGAACTTGATATGTAGAGCAGGCTGGACTCAATCTCACAGAGATCTGCCTATTTCTGCCTCCCAACACTAAAGGCATCCAACACTACACCCAGCCAAAATACATAAAAATATTATTTATTTTATGTGTATGAGTATTACACCTGCATGTACATGAATGTGCCTGTGTCATGCAGTGCCAGTGGAGGCCAGAAGAGGGTGTCAGATACCCTGGAACTGGAGTTATGGATGGTTGTTAGCTGCCAGGTGGGTGTTGGGATTCAAATCCAGGTCTTTTGCAAGACCAGCCAGTGCTCTTAACTGCTGAGTCATCTCTCCAGCACCCCAAAATACTTTTTAAACTACCATTTTAATCTTAATCTACTTTTCTGGACATATCATGTTTTATTTCACTATTCCAAGAGTAAATGTTACTTGAATTTTGTACACATACATAGATATTTGGTTACAAATACACAAAGAAAAAAACACACACAGTGACATATGCAGACAGAGGCAGAGACACAGGTGCACATGTGCACATGCACCCATACACATATACACACACTATTAGGACTTTGCAGCTAATTAAGACAGAGGAAAAACAGGGATATGGAAACTAGAAACTCCAGACAACCTTAGAACCTGATAGGCATGTGTATTCTACCCTTTAGCAGCTTGGCAAATGATCTTGGGCCACTCAAGTTCAGAAGGTCCTGATTCCTTTGTCCCCTAAACAAGATTAACATCAACATGCACAAGTATGTAGGGAGTTGATTTGTGTTCTCCATAGCCATTATGCTCTGTAATGCCATCATGAACACTGAATTAGCAGATACTGAATTGTTGTATCACTACATTTTCACCAGCCAATCAATATCTCACCTAGATTCATGCATGACTTTGTGTACTGGCATCTTATTTAATATATGTTGTTGATTGGTAACCACTGAAGTGTTTCACAGGACTATACCTTAGACCCAAATATAGCTTACTGAACACCTAGTTTCTTAGCACATTCCAGCCTTGTTTGTGCTTAGGAATACCACACTGTACTTGAGAGGGACATCTTAAATAGTCAACTTATCAACAAAAAGCAAAAAAAAAAAAAACAAAAAAAAACCCAAAACAACCCTCCCCCAAAACCCCCCAAACAACAACAACAAAAGTAGTACTGAATAGACCACAAAGAGAATACTTGCTTATTGTTTAAGAAATGAGCCAAGAAGGCAAGTTGCTTTCTTCAATGTCATTTGGGAATTTGTCCTCCAATTGCCTTAAATCTTTTTTGCTGTGTACATGTCCATGAATGAGCACAAACATTAATTTAGGAATTTTAAATAAATTTTTGGCAAATGAGCAAATTAAAAAAATATAGAACTCACAGAAAATGATATTATTATACATATATAATTAAGGTTCCAACAGAAATGTTTTAAATATTATTTGAAATAAGGGGAACTAAAGATGATTTAGATTATGGATGAGGGTTTATATCTATAAAATGCCAGGGTCATTTTAATCATTTCACAAGGGGCAATGACTGAGGGCTGTGAGATAAAATTTCACAGGTACATAATATGAAAGTTTTAGTTTCCTTTCTGTTGCTATGACAAAATATCCTGAAAAAAAGCAACTTAGGGGAGAAAGGGTTTATTTTAGATCACAATTCCAGATTATAGTCCATCACTGTGGAGAAGTAACAACAGTAGCAGCTTGAAGCAGTGGGTTACATTGCAGCCACAGTCGTGAGCAGCTGGTCACATTGCACCCACAGTCGGAAGTGGCTGGTCACACTGTACCCATAGTCAGGAGCAGCTGGTTACATTGCACCCACAGTCAGAAGTGGCTGGTCACATTGTACCCATAGTCAGGAGCAGCTGGTTACATTGCA